TGCCTGTGTTCCAATTCTTCTCTAAATTCAGACCAATAATAACAGAAGTCAGAATCATTTTCACGCGTCATTTTAACCTCTCCCTCAACTTTTAAAGAAGAAGCCATCAAGATTACCATTGATACTGAGGTAATATTGATATTATTCTATTAAATTTCTTCTATCATTCTTCCATAAATCAATTACAAATTCACATTGATATACATCCACCGATAAAAGTATCTTCTCGCCTGTGTTCCAATTAATTTCTTCTCTAAATTCAGACCAATAATAACAGAAGTCAGAATCATTTTCACGCGTCATTTTAACCTCTCCCTCAACTTTTAAAGAAGAAGCCATCAAGATTACCATTGATAATGAGGTAATATTGATATTATTCTATTAAATTCCTTCTATCATTCTTCCATAAATCAATTACAAATACACATTGATATACATCCACCGATAAAAGTATCTTCTCGCCTGTGTTCCAATTCTTCTTTAAATTCAGATCAATAATAACAGAAGTCAGAATCATTTTTACGCGTCATTTTAGCCTCTCTCTCAACTTTTAAAGAAGAAGCCATCAAGATTACCATTGATAATGACGTAATATTGATATTATTCTAAATATCAATAATCACGGGGAAAAAAGCCGTCTCTCTGCGAAGCAACGGATGTAATCGCGACTGGTTTCTTCCAACAATGAAATCTCATTTCCAGCGAATGGAGGGCACGGTTGGCATCGATTAAAAATCACGGTTGTTATCTCCTCGCGCGGACGTCGCGACTCCATGGTGGAATGCCGTAGAATTTGTACGTGGGCGACGGTACGAGGGCAGGCGTGTGCACGACCAGGTCGCGGTAGGCGGCCGCAATAACGGCAGATAACAGCGAGGTTGATAATATTCCGCGAGGCTACGCTCTTCCCCGGCGTGCATAATTCATAAGACCGCTGCCCGTGTACCGGCCCGTGCAGGACAAATGTGAACACGGGACGATTCAATCGATTCTACCAAACCAAACGTGATCTTCTTAACTCCCCTTATTCTCTCTAACCAGAATTTTCAACATTAATACAAATTGAATTTGTTACATCCTACATACGGTGTTGAGAAAATCTTGATCTACAAGAAACGCCCGTGAGTATCGATATTTCCGTATCTATCTATAGATTGCGTATTGGATTAATTCCAAGGATGAAAAATAACGAATTTTTCTTAGAAGAAGGCAATTTGTAAGGATAATTGCAAGGAAGAGGTTCTAAGAGAAATAAGATAATCGGAACGTAGCAATGATTCTGACAGTAATAATTTTTAGTTTGACGTCCATTAATAATCTTGACAAACTCTAAGATGATTGAAATTATCGCAAAAGAAAAAAGAACCGATGCTTTTTCAATCTTCGATGCTTTTCACAATCCCCGATGATCGATTCGCGATTTCGAAACGCGAACGTTGGAAGAAGAAGTGACGAAGAAACGATCAAAGAAACTACTTTTTCTATCCCCTTCTCACAAATCTTCGTATCGTTTTGCAATTAACTTGGTAAACGCGAACAGGTGCTCGAGAGATCCGCTCGAGATCTCGAAACAGAAACATTTTACGTAGAGCGAGAGTCGAGGCGATTTTACAACCGAGAAAAGGAAATAAAAGGGGAGGCACGTTTCCTACGCGCGTTCACCGGTTTGTTCGATTCGTGTTGGCGTACGTATGCACGCGTCGCCTTGGCCTCTTAACGTAATCGTACGTTTACACCGAGCGGCAGGTTCGCGCAATGGCGACGAGCCGTTTCCATTTGCCGATCGATCATTCCTTGCGTAACGGATTCGACGCGAGGAACGATCGAACAATGAGCAGAAAATCGAGGGACGGTCGATCGTTCGCGATGATTAAATTCGACCGAATTCGATTTCGAAGAAGGACGATTTTAAAAGAGTTCGTAAAAATGCGAAATTTTAGAGATCGAAGATTTAGAGATTCGAGTCGCAGTAATGACGTCGATCGGGAAAACCGATTGTTTCGAGTTTGAGAAGATGATTTGTAAAAATTTGAAATTTTCGGTGGTTTGGTGATGACGTGAGCTTGATTAGGGATCTAATAACGTATCAAAGATCCAGGGAGGATCGATCAATCATAACGACGATGATGATTGGGATTGAGAGAATTCGAGGTTAAGAATTTGAAATGCGAATGCGGGTTTTCTTTTTTATTTTTGATGATGAATACGAGTTAGTTTAAGGATAATAATAATATGTTAGAGAGTTTCAGAAATGATCGATCGATCTTAACGTTTAATGATATTAAAAGCATCTTTCGATGAGATCGTAAAAATTTGAACAAAACTGTAAAGTATTTTGCTTTCGATGATGATAGTTGATTACTTTTTCATAAGTAATTTCATGCTCGTAATTGATGTTCATAATTCCTCAAGATCTACTTTACACGCGGACTTTGAATCGTGATCAATCACGATCGATCGACGTCAAATATAACAACTTCTAAATGAATATGAATAAAAAATGGAAAGATTTCACGTTTAAAATTTACACGTTTCTATTCAAATTAATTTTATATTCATTTCACAATTTCTATTACATTCGTTCCACGAATCAATCGCACTTTACCCACACATTTCTCGAATAATGATCGGATTTAAAGACTCAAAGAAGAAATACAATTCGTAATAGAATCATATCACGTTCTCTCGCGATCATCCTTAAAATTTTTCCTTCTCCTCAAATTTACAATTAATTTAAATTTACGAATCATAAACTTAAATATTTTTCGAGATTCGAACGTATACTTAACCAGAAGATCGCAACAATAATTCGTATATCTGTCCGTCTGACTTTTATCCGGACGAAGAGAAGCGTCTTCCATCGATCATTCGTTGCACAACGTCTTGTTGTCGAGAATCTAAGTAACGCGGCGAAATGACGACAGCCAACACGATTCTCGAACCGGGTGCGTTGATCTATCGGTTTGATATCGCGTAGATTAAAACGCGTAGATCACGCGTTAAGATAAAAATCGACGAGGCTGCTCTTTTATTGTCTCTATCCAGTTGTTGATTCAATGGTGAGCAATCTTTTCGAATATTCATAGTCGTATTCATCTCACGAAGGACAACTTCGTTTAATAAATAGGAATGGAATGATGCGAGAAAAGATGGAGATAAAAGAATTCTGTACAGTTTGTTGTCCCAGTTTAAATTTATGGTGTATTCAAGAGGTATATTGCGTTAGATGCGACTATGAAGTGACTGATTTCGCGAGAGTAAAGAGCGAAGAGAGATGAATGATAGATAAACTGATCGATCAGACTTTTCTATTTACTAACATAGAAACACATCGTGATTAGGATAAGAATTTTTCTTAAAACTGTATTATTCGCAATAAACTTTTTTTAACAAATAAATCCGATAAAATTCTATTTACTACACTTTTTTCTCTGCACAAAAATTAAAGAATATTTCATTGCATCCATTTATTTTAAAAGCAATTGAACACCATCATCCCAACAAACGAATCCTATAACACATTTCGATTAAACGCAGAAACATCGAAATAACGTTTAAAGTTACAAAAATTATTTAAACATCATCCTTAACTTTTCAAATCACTCGATATCACCTGGTATCTCATCGGCGGTGTTCAAAGCATTCACTGCTCGTCGAATCACGCTCAATTAAAATTAATTGATTCCCTTCCCACGACCAACCCCTAATCTTCCATCCGCGAAGTGAATACCTGTCAACAGAACCTCTTTCAGAACCCGTTTTTCAGAATTGTTCCCCTCGAATCGAATTGAACCGTCCCTCCTCCCGTTCACGGATTAACAAACAAACGCGATCATCCGCGGCATTGTCGCCCCGTTTCCATCCGAGCGTAATCTGTTCTACCCTTCCCCCCCTTCCCTTCTCCCCCTGAAAAGCAGGTAAACCGATAAGAAACCGGAGGAGGAAGGTTGTCGAGGCGAGCGAGGAACGATCGAGTGAATCGCAGAAAAGCGGGAATCGGCGCGCGGCTACGATGCAGTTTTGCCAGGTTGGCATTATTTCGCGCTGTAACGAGCGTGACGCCGCGACAGGCCGCGCTAATGATCGAGCATTATCGCACTTTTGTCGAGGCATCGTTTCTTTTTCCTATCTCTATTTCCCCCTTCCCTCGTATCTTTTGCACTCGCGTCGAGGACGAGGATTAAATCGTGTAGCGAGCCCTGTCCACGATTCAACCGCGATAACCGAGAATTAGGTGTTCATAGAGCATTACGTATTCGAGATAAAGGTAGGTTGTTTCGCGGAATTCTCGCGAATTGAGAAGATCGTGGCCAGGTGTTTCGTTGAAAGGGAGAGGAGGAAAAGGGAGAGGAGAGATTGTGAGGGACAATTTTATCTCGTGGGGGCGGGAAAGAAATTATTTCGATCAATGATTAATTATATACGTTTACATCATGATTATCGTTGTGATAAATTTGTAACATTTGATATGTGGTTATATATAAGAGTTTTATATATATATATATATATA